TAATAAAAAAAAAGTGGGCAGAGAACCTGAAAATACATCTCCCCCACAAAGACATACAAATAGCCAATAGATATATGAAAAGATGTTCAACCTCACTGGCAATTAGGGAAATGCAAATCAAAACTACAATGAGAGATATCACCTCACACCTATTAGAGTGGCCATTATCAACAAAACAAGCAGAAATAAGTGTTAGAGAGTTTTTGGAAAAAAAGTAACCTTCATTCACTAGTGGTGGGAATGTAGACTATCAGTGATTTCTTAAATGACATCAAAAGCATAGCTTACAAAAGAAAAAATAAGTTGGACTTCATCAAAATTAAAAACTTGTGCATCAAAGAATACTATTAAGATATTTTCATCTATTAATGATGGCTAATTTTTCTTTAATTTTCTTAACTATTAGAAATTTTCAAAATAGAAAATTTATTCTAGATTTAATCATAAATAAGAATAAATAGAGCTGGAATTATTTTGACATAATGTGCAAATTGAATTTTAAAAATGTATCTGAGAAAATTCATAGTCATTGATATCTCAAATCTGCAGTTAGATTTCTAAAAACCATTGCAGCATATAATATGGAAGGTGTATGTTTGGTTTTTAATTTCACCTAAGATTGAGGACTCAAACAATAGATTCACTTCTCTGATTTTTATTGATGATAGTGATGACTGGATCACTGAATGAGAAGGAAGTAACATATTTATGAGGTAGGTGAATGATGTGATTCCCATTAATAAAGGTGAAAACAAAACAAAAAGGAAACGAGAGTGAAAAGAAAACTCACAAAATGGCAGAAAATATTTGCAAAACCATGTATTTCATAAATAATGTCCAGAATATATAAAGAACTCCAAAAACCCTCAAACAATCCAATTAATAAATGCACGAAGGACTTGAATAATATACAAATGGTCTATAAAACATATGAAAAATGCTCAACATCATTAGTGTTTGGGGAAATACAAATCAAAACCACAATGAGATATCACTTCATACCCACTAGGAAAAAATTGAAAATAACAACTGGTGGTGAGGATGTGGAAAAATTGGAACTCTTGTATATTGGTTGTGGGGATGTAAAATAGTGCAGCTACTGTGGAAAACAGTTTGGCAGTTCCTCAAAAACCAAACATAGAATTACCATATAATCAGCAATTCTAAGTAAACACCCAAAGGAATTGAAAACAGATCCTTGTACAGCACATTTATGGTGGTATTACTAACAGGAGCAAGAGGGTGGAAGCAATCAGAGTGTTTAGAAAAAGTGATAATGGCTATATAGCTTTGTGAAATGTACTTAATGCCATTGAATTGTGCACTGAAAAAAATTTTAAAGGATGAATTTCATGTTATGTATATTTTACCACAATTACAAAAAAAAGGCAAGTTCTTAATAAAAATGATAGTGCACAGGACTCATGAAAGTAAGTAAGCCTAGAAGGAGTTCGTAGGAAGAAAAGGGAATGTTTGAGGGATTAAAGATTGCAGGGTGTTTGAAGGGAAGATATTTAGGGAGTAAAGATTGAAAGAACTGAAACATAATGATGTGCCACATAATGATGTTCAGTCAGCAACAGACTGGTATACAACGGTGGTTCCCTAAAATTATAATGGAGATGAAAATTTTTCATTGTTTAATGACGTGGCAGCTTTCATAACATCTTAACAGAATACTTCCCTCATTTGTTTGTGGTGATACTGATGGAAACAAACCTTTTGCATCACAGTTTGGTAAAAATATAACACATACAATTATGTACAGTACATAATATTGATGATGATAATAAATGACTATTTTTCTTTTTTGTGTACTTACTTTTATCATTTTTAGAGTGCACTTTTTCTACTTGTAAAAAAAGTTGGTTGTAACATAGTGTGCTGTGTTAGCCTGCAGCAACCCATACATCTCCTATTTACTACATCTCTTAGTTGCATCATTTTCTCTTGTGCTTGATTTAATCTTGTGTTGTTTTGTACAATGTAAGCATATTATGCTTATAGTATACTAGAGGCGCAGTGCATGAAATTTGTGCATGGGGTGTGTGTGTGTGTGTGTGTGTGTGTGTCCCTCAGCCCAGCCTGCACCCTCTCCAATCTGGGACATCCCTCTCACAATTCAGGACTGCTGGCTTCCGACTGCTCGCCTGCCGGCCTGCTTGATTGCCCCTAACTGCTTCTGGCTGCCAGCCTGATCACCCCCTAACCAATCCCCTGCCAGCATGATTGATGCTTAACTGCTCCCCTGCAGGCCTGGTCACCCCCAGCTGCCCTCCCCTGCAGGCCTGGTCTCCCACAACTGCCCTCCCTTTCAGGCCTGGTCCCTCCCAACTGCCCTCCCCTTCTGGCCATCTTGTGTTCACATGGGGGTGGCCATCTTGTGTGTTGGAGTGATGGTCAATTTGCATATTACCTCTTTATTAGATAGGAAGATAGGATAGGCTTGCTTCTTGTAGTACAGGCTTGTAGCTGAAGAGCAGTAGGCGATACTATACAGCCTAGGTGTGTAGTAGGCTGTAATATCTAGGTTTGCGTAAGTGCACTTGATGTTTGCCAATGATGAAATCACCTAATGAAACCTTTCTCAGAATGAATCTCCATTGTTAAGCAGACCATGACTGTAACAGTGAGATGTGTTGCCTGATGTTTTGGAATGTTAGGATTTCAGTGGTCGAATGCTTCCAGTTAATACAATTGAGGGTGTGACCATGGGTGTGCACTGCTAAATACGAGTAGGAAATGACAGTCTTGAGAATTGAACATGAATAAATTCACACAGGAGAGAGGGTAGAAAGCAAGACTGAGTTGGATGTTGAAGATGAGTAGATGTCAGTGGTTGATTTGCAGGGGTCTCAAAGGAAAAATTATTTACTTCTACTCTATTTCTTTGTTGTGTATGTTTATGATAGTATTGACCCAGAGTTTGTTGAATATCTTTTTATTAGTCAAATTTTGGTAACCCTAGTAGGTTGCCAGTGGCTAAGTCAATCCTAAAGTTGAGAGGTGTAGAAATGGGCTCAGGCACTATTTCGGCTCTTCTGTAGGCACAGAGGTGTTAATCTGTGTACATCAAGGTAAGTACACTGAAGGGGGAAAGCACTGGCCTCTTTATTTTGCTTTTAAAAGTGAATAAGTGGGGGGGCGGGTAGGAGAAGGGGAGGTAATCAACCAAAGACCTTGTATGCGTATGTGCATAACCCATGGACACAGACAATAGGGTGGTGAAGGCATGGGGCTGGGGGTGGGAGTGGACTGGAGAGGATCAATGAGGGTGGGGAGGGAAGGGGACATACATAATACTTTCAACAATCAAGAATTATTAAAAAAATAAGTTAAAAAAAGTGTATAAGCAAGTCGTTAAAGGTCTTTTCATTACAGTAGTTTTATTTTATTTTTTAGAAATGTACACATTGTAGTGCTTCAAAAGAATATCTTTTGGATAGAATCTGATTAAAATTTCATATTCTGAATTATATAATGATTGTTATAAAGTGTTTTCAATTTCAAAGAGAAGAAGCCATTTGGAAAGCCCACCTAATTAAATCCTACTTTGAAAGTAGTTTGGCCTCTAATTTTGTTTTCTCTTGTGGCAGATCTTTTATATAATACTAGAGGCCTGGTGCACGGATTCATGCACTGGTGGGGTCCCTCGGCCTGGCCTGCGGGGATTGGGCCGAAACCAGCTCTCCGACATCCCCTGAGGGGTCCCAGATTGCGAGAGGCTGGTTCTCGGGTGATGCATCTCGGAATCGGGCTCCCTCTTCTCTGATTCCGGGTGCATCACCCGAGAACTGCAGCTATCAAGTCACTGCAGCTTGGCAGCTTCTGTGTTGAGCATCTGCTCCCTGGTGGTCAGTGTGTGTCATAGCTACCAGTTGGAGTGTCTGCCCCCTGGTAGTCATTGCACGTCATAGCTACTGGTTGGATTGTTGCTTAGGCTTTTATATATAGAGATCCAGTGCACAAAATTTGTGCACTGGGGGGGGGTGTCCATCAGCCCATCCTGCGCCCTCTCACAGTTCAGGACCCCTAGGGAGATGTCTGACTGCTGGATTAGGCCCGAGCCCCCCCTCCCTGATCCCCCTGGGGATCGGGCCTAATTCAGCAGTCAGACATCCCTCTTGCAGTCTGGAACCCCTTGCTCCTTACTGCCCACCTGCTTGCTGCTCCTTACTGCTCCTTAGCGCTGCTGCAGAGGCTGCTGAGGCGGGAGAGGCTCCCGCCACCGTCGCTGTGCTTGCCAGCCATGAGCCCTCTTCTGGCTGAACGGTGCTCCCCCTATGGAAGTGTACTGACCACCAGGGGGCAGCTGCTGCATTGAGCTACCAGTTGGAGCATCTGCCCCCTTGGGGGGATGTCCAACTGCCAGTTTAGGCCCGATCCCTGGCTCCTAACCACTCACCTGCCTGCCTGCCTTAACCACTCTGCCTGCCTGATCCCCCTAACTTCCCTGCCTTGCGGCCTGGTCTCCCCTATTAACTTTTTTTTTTTTAAATCTTATCCCCTTCACACACAATTGTATTCAACTTCCTTATTGGCTTCTCCTTCTCACACAATTTTTCTCTCTCCTTTATGTAA